ATTTTTTCTTTAAAAAATGCTTTTGTTATTAGACAAGTGGCGCCACTCGACTAAGCGGACACAACACTGAATTACCTAAGCAGTTGTTTGCTACGTAAATGCAACGAAATGCATACGACCCCAGGTCTTGGAAAAAAATCAATATATGACGCCTGACCTACTTAACGTTTATCTAGACGAGTTTGTCCCTTCAAGTATGTTAGGTCAACGCTTACGCTTTACAACGGTTACATGATCACGATTGACTTCCACAGTGAAGGAATAAATAACATCGTGTAATAAAAATCAAACTTATACAAAATACAAATTATAATATTATCAATATTTTCGTCCATAATTATTATAAAATATTTTTTTGTGTATCTCAGGAATGTGGACAAGATAGGACTATCATAACAAATTACATTATTATTTTTGCAACGTTTCGGTCTTTTATTAGACCTTCATCAGGCATCTGAAAATTACACATATTGATAACCAACAATATAACATATAAAAAAACAACAATTGTCGACACTACCATATTTACCATAATATGAATTTAAACAATCACTATCCTGCACTGCACAATTGCCTTAGACATCAGAAACTATCACAAATCAACAAAGCCGCTAAATTAGTTAATTACTATTTCTGATTTTTTGTTGGCTTTGTTTCCAAAATCTTGTCCACATTCCTGAGATACACAAAAAAACAAATTATAATTTGCGTTATTACTAGTGCTAGGAGATCTTGTGAGTCCGCACGGGTAGATACCACCACCTGTTTTTATTCCTACCTATGCTGATAGCCTTGAGAGGCTATTTTAGCTTCTCTTTTTCGTCTAGGTGAGCTCACCGGGCTTAAACCGGGAGTGTTGCTAACACTGGCCCTAGCAAGAGCAGACAGCAGGGACAGAGAGAGAACATACTATATTTCTACGATTAAAGCTTAAACTAAGAATCGCGAGCGAAATCGAATAATTATACTGGAGTTAGTGACAACGTTACGAAAAGTGTCACTTCAAAAACAAGGCTAAAAACGTATCCAGACGTGGCATTTGCAATTCTAAAACATTGCCTAACACAGACCTAAACATCTCAAGGCTTTATAATCGCCTCGCTCGCAGTATTTTTATCTAGATTCAATTTTGGTTTTATCTAAATGATAAAGGAGTATGGCTTCAGCGTTGGTCCGACGTAGTGGTGTGAAACGGCTTGTGCGATGTCTTGATTTTGTTTTAGTACAAATATTTTAGTCGATTTTCTCGCAAGGATCGATTTTAACGAGTAACCAAGTGCCTTCAGAGCTAGAAGACAGATGTCAGGTGTGAGTAGAATGTGGGAGACAATTTATTTATTTACTAGCTGAGTCTCGCGATGTTACCCACGGTACGACAATAGGGTGTATGTACGGTATATATACTCATATGTATATAGTAAACAGCTGTTATTTCAATATTACGAACAGACACTCCAATTTTATTTATATGTAGATTTAAACTCCGCTCAAGCAATTAATTACCCGATTACTCGACTATTAAGATCTTTTTGTTCGACAACCCGAGCGCTATTTCTCTTAAAAAATGTGTATGTTTGAATCACACGTTTTTTTATTTTATTTTATTTTATTTTATTTTATTATTTTATTTTATTAGGAAGACAAACAGTGAACTTAAACTATATAAACTCTAAACTTACAACTAAACACCATTTAAATGTCTCCGCATTTAAATAACTATAAAGTATAAAGGATTGTGGCGTCGCATCGCCTAGAATTAAATAATTAAAGTAAAACGTAAAACTAAAATAAAACAGTTTGAGAAAAAAAAAACAGAAAATCGTAGTAAATAGAAAATAATTAATTAAATATTTGCATTCAACCATCGTTCATAGGTTATACTCGTATCTGTCATGGTTAATGACAATTTAATAATATTTCATATTTAAATAGAAAATTTAATTTAAAACAAAAGAAAAATAAATAACAGCCGACCGAGTTTCTCGCCGGATCTTCTCACTGGGTCGCGATTCCGATCCGATGGTAGATTCTGCGAAGCACTGCTCTTGCTAGGGCCAGTGTTAGCAAATTCTCTCAGGTTAGGCCACCAGCGAACAGATAGGGGAATAGAAGAATACAGATAGTAACAACTTTGCACATTTTTTTTATTTTTTATTGCTTAGATGGGTGGACGAGCTCACAGCCCACCTGGTGTTAAGTGATTACTGGAGCCCATAGACATCCACAACGTAAATGCGCCACCCACCTTGAGATACATGTTCTAAGGTCTCAAGTATAGTTACAACGGCTGCCCCACCGTTCAAACCGAAACACATTACTGCTTCACGGCAGAAATAGGCAGGGTAGTGGTACCCACCCGCGCGGACTCACAAGAGGTCCTACCACCAGTAATTACGCAAATTATAATTTTGCGGGTTTCATTTTTATTACACGATGTTATACAGATAGATAATAGCTTGACCTATATTTTATATATGATGTGTGTGTTCGCTGATTGATGTTTCCGCTTGGAGAGCATCGGTCGCCCTTCTCGCTGGAGTCCTAGAGCGGGAGATTAAGAAGTAGGGATGATCGATATTAGATAGAATCGATTTAAAAGTATCGATGGGAAAACATCGATGTTTTTGGTAGGCAATAAAACTGTCTATTTTATTTATTATACATGTATATTAATTAAAACTACGTTTCACTTGATTATAAGCAAATACGGTACGGTAGTTCGCAAAATGGTTGTACTATCTAAGGAACTCACTATCTAGAAAGTACATCCACCGTTAGATGGTCCTAAAATATATATAAATATTTTAATATTTAATTATCGATAATTATCGAAACGAGAACATCGATGTTTTCCAGCTAAACATTGATGTTTATTCAACATCGATATTCAACATCCCTATTCGACATCCTTATTCAGAGATCGGTATGAATAGTCGGGAATATATGTACCACTATAGCGCCTTTAGAACCGAAATAGCTTAACTAAAAAAAATAAAGAAAATGTGTTTCATACTACAAAAAAATTAAATTTACATTTTAGTCTAGGAAAGGACAAAGTATACTTCCGTCTCCTTTAAATGTAGCGCATACCTTAAACTTTAAGACCATTGGACGGCTCGACAGACAGAGGTTTAGTAAAAAAAAAATTGTAAATTTATTCCTACCGAAAATCTTATCGAAAAGTTATAGGTGGATCACATATAACACGGTAGGTAAGTTCCTACAAAGTCTCGCGTTGTGCGAAATCGTGTTGTATGATACGAAGATATAGATATATAGGCTATAGAAGCCAATACAGAAATGCGAGTTTGTTTGTTTATGTGAAACATCTCGACTATGCCTGTCTTTATTTTTTTAACTATTACACACAAAAAAATGCAGTAAAATTTCGGTTATTTCCATATATTGTGTGTTCATAGTGCGTAATGTAATTTTTTAAATGATTCTAAACAAAACATCTCGTTATCGTGTTGTAGAAGTACCGCGTTATAAGAGAGGGTATTTGGGTATTGTTTGTTTTCGTGTTAGAGTCGAACTGTGTTAAAGGAAGGTTACCTATTTTAAAATACTAGTGGTCCCGCAGTAGTCGAAATTCGACTATAATTAATTGGAACTCTAAGTTTGTACACTATTAAGATTGTATTTTATACTTCTATAATCACAAATTTCGCCAAGACTACATCTATTCTCAATTTGACAACAGACGTCAAGAACAAAAGTTTGACAATAAATAGTATGCATGCGTGTGTGCGTCAAATACATGGTAGGTATGTAGTGTGTGTAATGTTTTCTTTATTGATTTAATGTATCTTTTATGCATTATTTTAAAAAAATATTAGCATTGTGCACTTCTCTATATTCTCTATAAGTGTGGAAAATGTCACACTCCTCCGTCCGCGCGATTTTCGTAAAAAGGGATACAAAGTTTTTGCTTTACGTATTAATATATAGATATAACGCGCCCGTTCTGGGAACCGCGGAGTGGAAGAAAATGAATAGTGAGCCAGTATCGCGTCCTTATTGTTCACGGTCACGTTGTGGGTCACGTTGGGAGACTTCATCCTAGGGGACCCGAACTAACCTACTTTTAATAACAATAGCGGATGCACGAGCCGAGCTCTGAGGTATCGCTTCTGTTGTGAGCTACGCAATTTATGCTTAATCACTGGTGCTTAATCTCTTATCACTGGTGGTAGGACCTCTTGGGAATCCGCACGGGTAGGTACCACCACCCCGCCTATTTCCACCGTGAAGCAGTTATGCGTTTCGGTTCGAAGGGTGGGGTAGCCGTTGTAACTATACTGAGACCTTAGAACTTATATCTCAAGGTGGGTGGCGCATTTACGTTGTAGATGTCTATGGGCTCCAGTAACCACTTAACACTAGGTGGGCTGTGAGCTCGTCCATCCATCTAAGCAATAAATAAAAAAAATTGCATAGCTCACAACACTATTTATGCTCAAACAGCGTAGCGTGCGAATGGGACGTTCAGACGAATGCTTAATAGCTTTTTAACGTTTTTGTTTTGTTTTTTTTAAAAACTTAATTCCGTCGTTGCCAACATAACATAGATAGTTTGTAATACTACCATTGTAATGCAAGCGTAGAGGGTACTGTAAGATAAAAAGAATAAACCGCGAAGTGGGTAGTTCAAGAAAAACATGCTATATAAAAAGCGCCGCTTTTGTTGATAAAAAGCACCGCGCTATTGATTTATAATATAGGCGCTTTTTAAAATAGCATTAGCGGTGAATTGTTTAAGTAACGTTTTCATCGTCTAAATCCCAATTTTCCAAATAAGAATTGTTTGTTTGAATCATTGAATAGTACACAATAGATATAACCTGTAAATGTGATTCTAACAAAATATAATAAAAAAATAATCTAATAGAAGGATAACAGATTCAGATGCTGTCATTTCGGTCATGTTTAACAACGACGATGAGATAAAAAATATAAACAAGCATCAGTTAGAATCACTGAGCATTTGTGATCCGCAGATTCGATATCAATGAAGAAGGCATCGTCCAGTGAGAATGGGGGGTACGCGGGATCAGCGGAACTCCTGGACCTGTCCGACGACGTTCTGCTCTGCATCCTGAAGTACTGCACACCAAGAGACCTGAAGGCGTTGGGATAGTAAGATACGATTCATTCTCATACGACTTTATCGGTCACAATTAACCTATTTAGGGCTGAGCTTGTGATATAAGTAGGTATCTCAAGTCTCTGTTGTATAGTGCAACGTTTGACCCCGCCTTTAAAACTGGAACGTATTACGGCTTAGCGGCAGTGATAGACGGAATAGTGGTACTTAACCGCTTTGGCGTACAAAGCGCCCCATCATTACATGCACACGGTTGCCGTCATTGCCGTCATAAGTCTTGTTTTTACCCCTACCTAATCGTTGGTGGCCTAAGGGGCTATTCCAACCAAGTAGGTGAGCTTACGCGTTCAATCTGAGAGAATTACTAACACTGGCTCTAACAAGAGCAGTGCTTCGCTGAATCTACCACCGGATCGGATCACTTCGACAAAGAATTGATAAATTTGGAGACTCTTTTACAGCACCTGTCCTCGTTTGGGAGCCCTTGTCGTGGACCGAACGCTCTGGGAGAGCGTCGATGCTCGCGAAAGCCCGTCTGGCCCGAAGCGTCTCCGTTGGCTGCTCACACACGGCCTCTCGTCCACCACCTCTGAGCTCATGCTGTGCGGCTACGCGAGGGAGGCAGCCGGGTGAGCAATTTGTTATCCGACCTACCAAACATCAGCACCATACACTACAAGTGCAATACGTACTAATCTCACAATAAATGCTGACACGATTACTGGTGCCGCCTGCATGTATGCAGCGGTCATAATTTGGTATACAGACTCCCATGTAAATAAAACATTATTACGAACAAGCTTATCAAATAAGGTCCAGGCTTGCAGAGTACCTCTACTCCGAAACTGCAAATGGTGTCAGCAAAAACAAATGAAAAGATAATAAATTTTCACCTACCCTCTAATTTATACCTGCTCCAGGAGCAAGGAGATGCTTGAACAGAAGGGTTCGCCCCGAGGCCCTTACCGTACCCCGTATAAGGGTAAACGACGACCCTGACGATGAAATGTCCTGTAAATGTTCTTAACGGTAGGCAGCGGCTTGGTTCTGCCTCTGGTGTTGCAGAAGTCCATGGGCAACGGTAACTCACCATCAGGGGGCCGTATGATCTACCGTCTGCCTACAAGGTCAATAAAAAAGTGTGACGTCATTTGTGGCCAAATTCACAAATGCGCGGAATTCGATCAAACCCATTTGATATTTTTCGAAATTTGTTTTGCTTTTATTTTGTGATTTTTTAATGGAGTTAAATACATTTTTAAACCATTTTATGGGTATATTATTGGTGTTAGATTTTAGTCAGTAAAAATTCTTCCTCAGATGCCTTGGTCACATGAACTGCAAGCACAAGGAGGAAGAACCCACCGATCTCACGATTAACAGTTTGTACGCTGGTGTCTTAGGGAACCCTGAACAATCCTCGAACGGAGGTAAGTACTTAGACTGATTACTCTGGAAACACTTAGATTATTATTAGCTCGATTTATATCTATTCGTCGGAGACGGTCATTAGTTTGGTAGCTACACGAAACGCGGCAAGATTCCCGAGAGGTGACAACACGATCGGGATGTTGTCGGAAGTCAGCTAACTTCGTGCTACGACAGAGCCTAGCCGATGGAGGCGTGTAGAGGCCATTTGACACTTACGAATCAGCCTTCTTGAAGAGCGGTACCTCCATCCTAAGAACTGTTATTCGTTTTCGTCTGCTAATGTCAAGAAGATCTTAAAATTGTTCGAAGGCAACAAACGTGTTGTGTGCTCAAAATTTCCTACCCTAAATAAATACCCTAATTTTGATAACAGCGTTGCGTAAAGCTATTTGTCCCAAAAGTGACGTGCCGCCATATGTCAAGTTAGCATCTAATTGGGAGAAACTGCCGGCAGCCACATACCGGCGTCCATTCCGGACAACTCCGTTGATCATTGGTATGGTCTTCTTCAGATCTGAATCAAGCAGTCAGGGGGACGATCTTCTCAAGCGGCCCTGTAGCTCAGATCTACGATTCGATACCAAGGTGAGAACGAACTTCGTAATAACAACTAGACACCAGCAATCCCTAGCGAGACCTATGTTGTATCCTTAAAGAAATCGTTTTCCACTAGGTGCTATTGGTATGCCGGCGAAACATATATTCTAAATGTCGTTAGCGCGATTCGGACTTATGCGGCCGCCACACACCACGGCAACTAAGAAGATCGCTTATGTGCCATAAAAGCCATCACCGCCGCCCAGAGACGAAATGACTGGAAGATTTTTCCCTAAAAATCGGGAATTTATTCCTCCAGACGGGTCCACCTGGTGTGACGGGTCTACCAGAGCTCATAAACATCACGTCAGCGCTGCTCACCTTAAGACCTTATGGTATTCAGTCGATGTCACGAAGACTTAACAATATGCGCTATGACCAAGAGGGGTTTCGCAGTCTTAAGTTAAAATTCCAGGGGTGTCTGCTACAACGCGCTCCCGGAAGCCGTGGGTAAGCAGCTGTCCGGTGACTGGGCCCCGCCGGATGACACGTGCCCTGGTCCCCAGTTCACGTTGACCCAGAATCTCTTGACCAGCTTGGAACAGCAGTGCCCTAATTTGACGACATTAGCTCTAGACTACTGCAACATAGATTGTTCCATGGTGAGTTCTCAAGAAGGAATAAATTTAGTTAAAAATAAATAAATAAAACTGTACTCAAGAATGCGTTACGTTTGACGTCACTTGTGTTCAAATAAACGCCTAACTAATCATAGTGCGCAGTTTGCTTGTTAGATAAACATTAAAACAAATCTTTGTAGTGATACAATTGATTGACTTTAGAATTGATTGTCGTATAGCCAGGTAAACTTAGGCGGTTGTGGGAGTCCATGGACATCAACTTGGATGCTGGAACCTTGGATCGTGAGGTCGGAGTCTCAATTATAACGTCTGCATCTACGTCCAGACCGATGTGCATGATTGCGCTGCGGAAAGTAGTAGGATGTCGGTATCCTCCCGTTCGGGTTAGGTGATTACATCGAACTGTTCGCAGCGAGCCATCTGTCACTTCCCGCGGAGGCTGAAGGTGCTCTCGTTGCGCGGGTCCAAATGCTACAACCAGCCCCTGGACAAGTCGTTTCTGTTCAAAATCCAGGATTACCTGAAGGAGCTCGAGGTAATGATGACTGTTGAATGACCTTAGAAGAAATATCTTTATACCCTCTTACTTATGATATTAGCACAAATTGCCTCAGAACAAATTTCTTTATACCCCTATGCTTATGATATTAGTATAAATTACCCTGGAACAAATATGTTGATACCCTCTTACTTGTGACATTAGCACAAATAAACTCAGAATAAATTTCTTCAAACCCTCTTACTTATGATATTAGCACAAATGACTCTGGAACAAATATTTTTATACCCCTCTTACTTATCATACTAGCATAAATGACCTTGGAACATTTAATATGCATTTTTATACGATGAATGCCAATGTTTGTGTCGCTGGATGGGATATTTGTTACTTTTCAATCCATACTACCTGGAGCCACTGCGGTCATCCACAGTGCGTTTCCAGAGGTATTTTTTGCCACGTACCATCCGGCTATGGAATGAGCTCCCCTCCACGGTGTTTCCCGAGCGCTATGACATGTCCTTCTTCAAACGAGGCTCGTGGAGAGTATGAAGCGGTAGGCAGCCGCTTGGCTCTGCCCTTTGGCATTGCTGAAGTCCATGGGTGACGGTAACCACTCATCATCAGGTGGGCCGTATGCTCGTCTGCCTACAAGGGCAATAAAAAAAAGATATTAAAAATTTACTGGCGTCTTTGTTTTTTTTTAATACACATTTCGATGAGACAAAATATTGGCTGTATGGACTGCGTTTCGTTGGTCCAATGAAGCGAACAGTACAAACGTTCTTCTACGTTTGTACTCCCAGGAGCTGGACGTGTCCGAGTGCGAGTGGGTGGAGCCGTCGTGTCTGCTGCCGCTCAGCAAGCTGTCCAGACTCCAGCTGCTCAGGATGAGGCGCTGCATGAGGATGAGCGAGTGTGTCGCGTACTCGTCCCTCGCCACCAGATACGGGTTCAAAACTCTCAAGGTGAGAGGATAACCCTTAATGGTGTAGCTAGCTAGCATCAATAGCTCCAGAGTCTAGAAACCATTTTAAAACCCAAGCTTATGATTGGTAGGTGGCAGAAATAGGCAGGATATTGTCTCGTGTTAGGTACTTTCATATCCGATGCTGCGGACGGAATGGTGAACAGTCGTCGCCCTAAACACGTCACGTCACACCACAGTATTTTACTGGTGGTAGGACCACGCAGGTAAGTACCACCACCCTGCCTATTTCTGCCGTGAAGCACTACTGCGTGGGACAGCCTTTGTAACTATACTTGAGGCCTTAGAACTTATATCTCAAGGTGGGTGGCGTATTTACGTTGTAGATGTCTATGGGTTCCAGTAATCACCAAACACCAGGCTCGTCCATCCATCTAAGCAATAAAAAAAAACGCATCCTCCCGATCCCCTAATGGTGCTTTTAGGTACCTCAAGCACCGGTCACCGCAAGCAACGGGTTCGGCGAGTAAATTAACCCACAGACAGCCTATTGAGTTTCTCGTCGGATCTTCTCAGTGGGTCGCGTTTCCAATTCGATGGTAGATTCTTCGAAGTACTGCTCTTGTTAGGGCTAGTGTTAGCAACGACCTCTGGTTAGAGCCCCGTGAGCTCACCTACTCATTCGGCCACGCTGGCATAGCCCTCTAGAGCTACCAACTTGGTAGGAAAAAAGGTATTTTCTTAGAAAAATATGTACCCGCCTACAAGATTCGAACACTGGCACGGTCGCATCGCTCGATACGAATGCACCGGCCGTTTTATCCTTTAGGCCGCGACGATTTCGTACCGTTTACAATGCTCGTTAACATCGGCTGGTGGGCCCAGGTGATTGACCTGCGCGAGTCCCCCGTGGGCGACAGCGAGGTGTCTTCTTTCGGCTGGGTGGGCTCGCTGGAGGAGCTGTACGTGTCGCCGGCGATGGAGGCGCCCGCTGTGCACAAGCATGCCCATTATATCGGCGACAACATACCGGAGCACGTCGAGCTCGACGACTGGGAGATGGAGGTAAGTAATCTCCTCCCCACCCCCCTACCACCCCACAGGTCACGTCAGTTGCTGAATGCTTATGAGCCCGTATGCCTAAGTGCGCTCTGCTTTCAAGGGTGGGGCCAATGAGACTGACCTTATGTCTTAAGGCGGGTGACGGCATTCACCTAGCGATTTCTAAGGAAACTGGTAACCAACCAGAAAATAGTTGACCCATCTAAATAATCAATCAGAAATAAATGTTCTTCAAAAAAATCGATTCGCCGCTAGCCCTAAGCTCAAGCGGCCGGATCGGCAGACGCGCTGTCTTGCATCCGCGTAATAAACCCCTCACTCGACAGGAGCCGGACTATTTCAAGGTGAGAAGCTCGAAGGTCGATGACCCGGCCCCCGCCGACTCTAAGACGGTCACGAAGAAACACAAACTCGACGAGGGACAAACCGACAGAAACGTCACAGACGACTTCGTTCCCGCCCAGAAGCGGATCCGTCTCGACGATATACCGCGCGTGTGCTCCTGCAAATCGGTCATTGGAAACACGCCTTCGTCCGTATACGCCATGATCAGGGGGGACAGTCGTAACCGAAACGACAGGTACGACGATGTCGTCAAGCAAGACTTGATCGAAGACGAAATACACAGGCAGAATCTTTTGAAGCTGCAGAAGGAGAAGGAGAAGGCGAGCGAGGATAAAGCGGCCGGGAGTTCGGGCGATGGCGACGCTAAGCCAGAGAACGGAGGCGGCGAACAAAATGACGTGAAAATGGATGAGCCGCGACCTGAGTCCGTCAACCAAGGCGCCAGCACGTCCAAAGACGACCCTCAGCCCTCGACGTCTAACAAGACTGATCAGAAAAACGGCGAGAAAACTGAAAATAAAGAACCGAAACAGAATATACTGTATGTTAACGTAGGAAGACGCCTCCACGCCATGTACAGGCTCGCAATACCGGTTTATAAAGTTGGGGAATCGGGCGATTCCCAACCGGCCGCTCCGAGTCGCAGGCTGGATGTGAGTTCGGCCTACCAGATGACAAGGTTCGACCCGACGACTCTCGTCTCGGACACGACGGTCCACAGATTCGGTCGCGCGGACAGCGATAACATAAACTACATAAATATCGGCCCGAACGGTCAACACGATCAGCCGGCCACGCGACCGGACAGGTCCAATCTCAGGATCTTGTCACTGACCGGATTCAGGAATATAACTAATCGGAGTCTGGTCCATCTGGCCACGGCGGCTCCACGTTTGAGGTTCATCGATTTCTCGGGTACGCGGGTCACGCAGAGAGGCGTGGACACGTTCAGAAGCTTGCGTCCGGATTGCGAGATCATTTACAGCCAGTACATCGACAGGAATGCGTCGGAAGGGGACATGGCTGTGTTTCGGCGCATCTAATGTTCAAATAAATTCTGTATTTCGGATTCCGTTTCTAATGAAGTCTTTTGCACCGCCGCATTTTAAGTGTCACAAATAATTGTCTAGCTATGTCGAAGATGTAGCTGGTGGAATGCTTAGACGAAATCAATGGTCGCTATATGAAAATTAATGCACAAAATTATTGATACATTAATCGCAGATTAACCATTATTTGCTAATTCTTGGAGACACGGCAGCGAATCATGAGTTTTTTTTTTTAAATAAAATGCGGTAGTGTAATAAGTTTTGGTTTTATATAATAATTTCTTTATAATTATATGTATTTTGAGGTATACAGTATAAATGATCTCACAAGTTATTTATGAATTGTTTCGTGGCATTCTTAATTTGGTATCATAGTAACTGGCGCTATATCTCTATCGTATTTTGTATCTGAAATTTGTCCTATCCAATTATTGATTTAAGGATGTACCCAAGAAAATTATGAATCGCGTCAGATAATCGATATTTACAGTATCTATTTCAAGATAATCGATAATTATAGTGTTCCATTTAGTCCCACGTGTCAGTGCTGCAACGATTATATTTTATACAAATGCTATTGCCTATTATCAATGTTGCCAATTTTTGTTTTATAGATTTTTGTAAGAGTGTTTAAAAACATTAATATTGATTCTAAAACTTATTGAATACAAACTACTACCGGATTGGCGCATTAGGAAAGTACTAAATTAAAATCAATACTATCTTTACAGAGATATAACAATGAAAGTTATCTATATTTCATATATATTTCAGTGCTACCAATTTTTGAATCTATCCATATTTCGTGGTTACAATTTACAAATTTTAGATCTGAGTGTTGCTTATCTTAATCTTGATATTACAAAAAAAAGTCTCAAATGATCACGACGGCTCATTTTGTTAATGTTTTTGATTAATTTTCTTAGAGTCATCTTGACATCATTGCTTCTTTTTTTTCTTAGAATTCGATCACAAGCGCACGAATGACATCTTCGTTATAATATGCGTTCGCTTGTTTGCGCAAAACATAGGCACAGTCACTGAACCAACTAAAGACATTAGCTACTGCGAGTGTAACATTATTTAATTAATCAACAGGTATATTTGGGAGAATATTTTCCAACTATGAAAATGTATAGAGTAAAAAATAATAATAAATTATGTGTCTCGGAACGCCCGACAGAAGTAATAACTTAAAGTAATCTATGTTGAACTGTTTAATATTGAAATCGTTTAACTTGAGAAAAGCTTAGGTTATTTCTTAAATTTTATGTATATTAATATGATAATGCAAGGATAATTGTAACATAAATTGAAAAAGATATATAAATAGTTAGGAGTTACATAAGTTCTCAGTACCGCTGCCGTCTGAGAGAAAGAGAAGCCAGACAGACTGGCGCTGTAACGCGTTACGTAACGAAGCGATCTACCCTCCCATAAGAAGTTATTACTTACAAAAATATATACAAGACTTACAGAGTAACAAAAATAATTAAAAAATAAAAATACAAGACTATTTTCGACTATGTCCAAACGCACAAGTTGAATGCACAAAATTTTCGACATTCAAAAATTCCCGCCTAAAAATTTTCGTCCGAATTTGACAGAATCGAATTTTGACGGCTGTCCTTTGGAACCTCGTGTTCTGACGGACGTCATTCTGACAGCTGTCATTTGAGTTGTTTTTTTTCCAGAACATTTCGTCGTATGAAATTTGTTTATTATTAATGTGATATTTTTTGTATTTATTCGAAAATAAAATTTTACGAGTGTCACCCCCCTCCCCCCCACCAAAGAGAATGGGTGTAAGGTTTTTAGTATTAAAATTGTAGGTGTTTTAAAAAGTATATTATGTGTATGTAGGTATTAAGGTAATAGTTGTGGGTCGAGTCGACTTGTCTCTCGACGACTCGCTCTATGCGTGCGTCGCTGTAACGCGTGCGAGAGAGACATTTAGATTGAGTGTTCTATTTTAATGGTAAATTAGGAAGTAGTTTTTGTATGAATGTATGTATAGAGTCAAGTTAGTGAAATAGAGTTTGGCCACTTTAGTTTCATAGTGCGAGGTACTTTGTTTTAGCTAAGCAAGCTTGATTTTGCAGTCCTAATTATGCGATAAGAATTTGTTGTTTCGCCTAAAGATGCCATCTCATAGATACATTGCTTGGGTGATCCTACCTTTCAATCCACCGAAATCTTTTAATAATTCATCTCTGTTTTGTTAATGACAAGATGGGAATGCGTGCGAATTGCTTAGTTCTTGAATCGGCAATGGCTAGTCATGGGTCTTGTGCTAATATGGTCAACTTATTTCCCACTCATCCGAAAGACAGCCGTATTTTGCCCGGAAAAAACGATATCCGAATTCTTTTTTCGGCGAAGGTGACGGCTAACAAAAAATAATAATTAGTTGTCTGTAAAGTCAGTTGACGGACGATAGTGTTACGTGATAACGTCAGTAGCAGAGCTATTCGAACTGCTATCTCTGACGTCACGCGAGATGAGAGATAAATGTGTCACAAGCCAACGCTTGGGCCGATCGTGCCTCTCTGTCGCTTGTTCCGCGCTCTCGCTCGTACGCTCAAGCTCGGGCGGAACGTGACACGTTTTCGTGCGAGCCACCGGTGTTTATCGATTTATAAGACGTTATCATGTCAAAAAAAAAAACGGAAGTACTGTGCGTTAAAAGTGATCAATTGCAATATTAGTTTACCATAAACAAGGAATTCACGAATTATTCGCGTTCAAAAAGATGTCCGGCATTCTCAAAGATCATCGCTCGGTAAAACGAAGCATAACGAACAGCGGCTCTCAAACTTTATTCTGACTCAGCGTCGCACTAACGTATGGTGCGAATACGCGACGCCGTCACATTCAAAGTATCTTGTGGTTGAAGCAATTACATTCATATTATCTATCATAAATTAATTGAATGCAGCTGTAAAGTTAACGTCTAGTAAAGAGTTGTATGTTTATAATGTGCAGCTTTGGCGAGCTTAGATACAAATATTGTATTTGTAAAGAGCTTGCGAGACTACAATGTGTCGCTAAACGCAAAGGTTGAGAGCCGCTGGCTTAGAACGCCAAAGTGTTTCGCTCTAAAAATAACAAAGGTGCATTGTCGTTGGTTCCTAGAACACGATAATCTTGAGGTTAAAGCGTTATTAATACAGCACCATGCTGGAATAGAAGCGATAGATAAGATAGTTGCGTTTACAATAATTAATTAAGCTTTTTCGCGAGCCATTTTCTTTCACTGTCAATCGAAACTAATCTACAAGGGAGCTTATCGGGAAGTAGCAAAATCGCATACAACAAAAAACGAGCTTATAAAAATAGCGCTGTTAAAAGCCCTGTCGTTTAAGGTCAACGAACTCGACTCGCGATTTTTGTGTGCATTTCATTGCGTAATATAATTTTATATAGCTAAAACTGTTTCTTTGATTTTAGAAATACCCTTACATATTAAGAGAATGTGGCATCGCTGGATCGATCTATAGAATAGGATATTTAGGGTTTTTGATATGTTTAACATCACGCTTTCTTAGTAGAAATTAGTTTTAATGAAGATGTTTGTTTGAAAAATAAACACTATATTATATATATACACATTTATATAAGTAGTGAGTTTGCATAGTAACACAAAGACAACGCTGGAGACATCTATTTCGGCGTTGCCAGTGCAGTTTGTACGTTTGAAGACTAATACGCAAGTGTTTATAAGTAAAGAACTCGACGAGTCTTATAACGCGATTGTCTTGGTTTAATGCAGGGGCTCCCAAACTCATTTTGTCTACTGCCCACTTTGAGAATAAATTATTATTTAACGCCCTCATTTTTTCATCTACTTAAAAGCCACTATAGCGAGAGCTCACTCGGTGTTTAAGAGTCCTCCTAGACCTCCCAAGCACACAACACACAACGCCCCCTTTTTTCTGGGTTTCTTACCGCCTCCCTTAGGCCTGCAGCGCTCTCAAGAGGGCGTTATCACCCACTTTGGGAAAGGCTGGTTTAATCCAATGAGACTCCTATTTCGTAGTTCTTTATCGATAATCGTTTAGAAGCTTTGGATTGTAAAAATAAAAAAATAAAAAAAAACATGTCGTTATAGTAAAAATGGCTGATGCCGGGTGTGCGTCGCTTCACCTAAAAACCATATTAATTGTTAGTTCCGATATTGAGATAAGCGTATACACAAAATTTCTAATCAATTCCGCTCAAAGGTTCAAAAGATAAAAAAACCCTGCCCTCAGCGCCACCTATCCGGCGCTAAGCGAACTGTATGTGACTGAATCATATTTTTATAATCCAAAGTTAGTTTATACAGCAACGAAGAGCCGATTTTATTAAAGTTAATTTATAAAATATGTCATATTATGGTGATATGATTGTAAAATTTAAGAATTTATTATTTAAGATTTGTCAAACAATTATATTTACCGTGTATTGAATTAAATGATTAAAAATGTATTTTTTTGTGTTTTTTTTTTGTTCCTATGCCAACGGTTATAGTGTTAATTCTGCCTAACGCAGGTTAACGTGTTTATTAGACAAACCAGAAAGAATCATTGCTTTGCTTCAGAAATAGTATCGAGAGGTGAAATGCGATTTGGTATAAGCGACATTTGGCTTTACAATTAAAGGTCCACTTCATTTGGTATTAGCTATTAGCATGTTTTTAATTGAACTTCAATAAAGTTTCGAATAACTGAAGAAGTTTTTTTGTTAAGTTTTTTTTTTTTTTTCAAATTTTATACTTTAAATGGCTCTCCTGCAAAGTTGCAAAAATGTCGCTTAAACCAAATAATAGTCTTTCACCTCTCGTTATGATTATGGTGTAAGTACATAATAATGTACATGAACCATTTCAGAATTTTACTAAACAGAAAGCACGACTATTGATTAAGTATACTGTGTGTCAGGAGACCGCTTCCGAAAACGAAGACAGACGATAGTACTAATGACACCTTTGATGATGGAACGGATAAAAAATCGATCTTGATTTAAAAAAAAAAACATTTTTAAAACGTTTTATTAGCATTATTTAGGCTCCATCATGTTAGTACAGCTAAATGAAACTATAGTTTCATAAAAATACATTACAAAAAAAAACCAGCAATGAAACACAAAATCAAAAACAGCTGATGCTCGGATCAATGACCGCCCGGACGCGGCGCGGCGTAAACTCGCGCGATCGCACACACTTTACAACATTTGTCTAAATAACTCTATGGAGTTATCTATGGAGTACTCTATTAAAGATGTCATTAGTACTATCGTCTGTCTTGCGTTTTCGGAAGCTGTCTCCTAACACCCAGTACATACGTCCGTACGTACGTACAATACGTCATTACATCGACGTGCAGCCTAACCCATGCATCAGCCCATCTCATCAGCAGTTTCTCGCCGGATCTTCTCAGTGGGTCGCGATTCCGATCCGGTAGTAGATTCATTCGCGAAGCAATTGCTCTTGAGTTGTTAGGTCTCCTTCGGAGGCGCTCGGGCAGTTGTTAGCAAATCCCACCCCTCCTGGCTGAGCCTTTGCCTGCCCACCTGTCCTGGTGAAGCTGGAAAGGCCTCCGGGACAACAGTAATCTTTCAATCATAAAAAAAAAGTCATTACAATAAAATTACCGCCATTTTGTAATATTCAGCCGTGTAATTTTCCCGCTGTATTTCGAAAATAAAAAAATAAAAAACACGTAGGTACATTTCTTGTACACGATAGCTTTTTAATTACATTACCAACTTAAATAGCAATTTAAGAAACATAATTGATTTTATGTTTTATTTAAGTATGTAGTCTTTCAATTTATGATTTCTCGTGTCAGTCGATAACTCATTCCGCCATTTTGGGTTCGGTTCGAACCGCGTTTGGATCAATATGTTGAGCGCTTTATTTGTATTCTGTAAGTGTTTTTTTTTTAATATTTCCATTAAGATTTTAGGTGCGTAGGGCCTTGATTTTAAAATATGTACCAAAGTATCATTCAGGCTATGGAGGGGTACGTATTTTATTAGGTAAATGAGCATCTGTCTGCAGGTTTTGAACACCGGCTTAGCGTCGTTCGATACGAATGGACCAGCCATCTTAACCTTTAGTTAGGTCAAGGCATACCAACATTACCTTTAGTACATGAACCTTAATTTCAGTTTAGGTAAAAACGGTATTAATTTTGTTATTTTATTCGCGAATTTCACTCATATGTAAATCGCCTAAAATCACACATTCGGTCAGCGTCAGAAAATCTATTTTAAACTATCGTTCCAGACTTGACGTTCGCGTTTTTTATGGAAAACATCAACTGCCTTACCTACGACGACCTTAATAACTACGAGAATCTGCAATTCGTTAATGATAAATCGGAGGGGGCCGCTTCTGTCTCGAGGGAAAGTGATGGAAGTGACGTCACAAAGTCAACAGGCCGCTGGTTCTATTCGATTGACGAGGTGAACGCGATGCAAGGTCAACGCAAGAAGAACAAACTCTCGTTCAAAGGTCCGGACAGCGCCGACCGCGAGACCGTAGAGAAACAACAAAGGGACTTCCAATACGTTGTGATGACGATAAAAAAACTGAACGCGGACGTATTAGACATAAACAATAGGATAACCAGCTTGAATCGGTTCATAGACGAGAAGCTTTCGAATGTAATCGTTCGGAGGAGCGCTCACGGCAGACTCAAGCGAGATTTGGACAGCGCGTCAAACTTGACAGCTGTCAAAACTGACGCAAACGTTACCAAGAGCAGCGGAAGGAAATCTATGAACGCCCCCGGAGCGCCGAACATTCTCAAAGAGAAACTGTTGAGCTATTTAGATGACGCATTCGGAGACATAAAAAACAAGATGGCCGTCCTTAACGTCGTAAAAATGTCTTATAAAAACAATGGCTATTTCAAAATAGGCTACATCACGGCCAGCCTGGACACTCTGAAGGTCTATCTGGATAACATGAAGCAGGATATGAATGCGAACAAAGAATTTTGGGACGATAAAAGGGTTTTGAATTTGTTCGACAAACTTAAGGCCGCGGATAACGCTGTCAACGGACTTCTGGAGACGTTGAAGCTAAAAATGCTCTGATTCAATAAACCATATGCAAATTTACCTTTCGTTTTACTTAGGCGCTCATTCCTCTAATCGTACATTGCCGACCTCTTGGATAAACCTGGAGATTGCTTCAGATAGTTTTCCCGACAATTAGAACTCGCCGGGCTGGGGCGCTCGGCGCAACTGGTCGTGGGCGACTTTACGAGAGCGCCCTCTGCCGGTCACTCGCTTGATGATGTACCGATCGCTGTCCAGGATTCTGCATACTTCATACGGCTCACTGTATTTGAGGTCGAGGGATATCTGGTTACGAGTATTGTTCTTGACGAGTACGTAGTCGCCTCGTTGAAATGGGCGCAATTTCGCCTTGCCTAAGTAATGCAACGTAACCGGTTGGCTCCGGAACTGACCGGTTTTTGCCCCCGGGGAGGGGGGATTGGGTGTTTTACGAAGGGGAAACGCTAGTTGCGTATTCCTCTACGTCCATACGTCCTGGTAATGACTGATATGGATGGATTTGGACCTGTTCATAGTGCGAGTGCTGTGCTTAGTGCGAGTTTTATAGCTTCTCGATCGCGTTAAAGTTGGAAAGGGTTACTACGTTTGCCGCTAGGGGCGCTGTTCCAACTCCACACATATTTGAAGTTAATTTTTACGCGATCTGGAAGTTAAAAAACTCGCACTAAGCACACTTGTTCTTTTGTCTCTTTCCTCTTATTTTAATTCTTTATTATCTTCTTTTTTTGTGCCTGAGTTGACAATTGGTCTTCCGCCCTTCTCTTCCTGCCGGAGGGGAGTGATTGGGCTTTGATGCCGGTTGAGGTCTCGGTAAATTGGCCACGGCCGTCAACATGAACAGTTCTGGGTTTGGGTCTGATGGGAGTTTTCCCCTTACCTTTGCCCTTAAGTCCTATGTCCATGAGCGACGGTAACCACTTACCATCAGATGGGCCGCATACTCGTCTGCCTACTTAGGCAATAAAAAATAAATACATACAAAATCCGGCCCAGAGATTCGGACTTTAATTGGCAGGGGCGTATTCTTACCATCGTATATAACGTCATTTCAGCTACCCATGTTCCGAAAATGCTTCGATTTTTTACTTTAAAACAATCATCAGACAACACAATTCAGGTGATGAGAATTAAGCCCCATCTCTGAGTTTGCGAGTGGTGGGTGGGATTCAAGTCGTAATATCTCTTTCATCCATCGAAGGAAAAAAATAAAACAAAACCAATAATATTACTCAATCATTTAAAAGTATATTTTTTCAGTCTATAAAAAGTAGGTATCTTATTTATTATTAGGTATCTTTTTTTTCTATATAAATGGTTCCAACGTCTTAGGCATTGATTTTGCCAATGCCACAGTATACACAAAAATGACAGGTGCTTAGAGAAAAAAAATCTAAATACAATTTGATCAGTTTATCCATACGCGAATCTGTGATTTTAAGAGCAGCTCAAACAAATATGTTAGACTAACTACTTACTTTAAAGATAAATATTATTAGTAGATAAAAATGTAGGTACCTATATGAATATTTATTAAGATTTAAAAACATAAACTTAATTTCTTAATTTGTGACAATAAAGTATGTTTAAATCCTAAAACGATTTGCGTGTAGGTACTTATTTATAACAGTCATTGCTTCATGTACAAACTCCTGACGAGAGCTTTGACCCGGGTCAAAGTCGCACCTACTGTGAGGTCAGACGACATGAGGTCGTAAGTAATGAGTCCTTGTTTTTTTTATTGCACAGATAGGTGGACGAGCTCATAACTCACCTGGTGTAAAGTGGTTACTGGAGCCCATAGACTTGTACAACTTAAATGCCGTCACCCACCTTGAGACATGAGTTCTTAGGTCTCAGTATAGTTACAACGGCTGCCCCACCCTTCAAACCGAAATGCATCACTGCTTCACGGCAGAATTAGGCAGGGACCACCCTGCTACCCGTGCGGACTCACAAGAGGTCTCACCACCAGTAAATACGCAAATTATAATTTTGTGGATTTGATTTTTATTACACGATGTTATTCCTTCACAGTTGGAAGTCAATCGTGAACATTTGTACGTATTTAATTAGAAAAATTGGTACCCGTCTGCGGGATTCGAACACCGGTGCATCGCTAGATACGAATGCACCGGACGTCTTATCCTTTAGGCCACGACGACTTGGCGCGCGATCTTTCGACAAAATACAAAATATTTAAAAGACATAAAACAATTACCTAACTAAACTGGGCTAGGACAAGCCTTTCACGGCTGCAGAAGTGCGCCTGTAAGCATAACCTATATAGTAAAACTTTTGTCAGTTTTAACACATTGAACGCCATATGAGAAATCGAGTATTTTCCTTTGAGCCACGGTGCTCACCGGTGAACCTGATCTTACTGAACAATTCGGGCCATGAGGGTCATCCGTGAGCCTTTTAAAAGATCTAAACTAGACGGTAAAAGTCGTGAACTTTTATCATCCGCGCTAATTATCGCATTTTATACTGAAATCTTTAGAATGAAAATCTCAAGTTTTCTCAACAAATTACTGATTCTCGGATTCCCTGATTTTGATTCCGGAATAGTATAAGTAATGCCAGGCTCTCCGGTGGGTTGTAAAGCCAAGAAACGTGTTAAAAAAATATAAACAACGATTTAACTAACTGATCGTCGTCCGTCAGCGAAACTGTAAAGTATTCGAAACGTCTGACATATTGACATTGACATTGACAATAATAAAATTCTGTTACCCCTTGATTTTCTCTTAGATATATATATATATAATCATTTCTAAAATATTATAACATAGTAAAATTATACAGCTAAGTCAGATAGCTCCAACCATGTACTTATAAAACATTAAAACTATTTCTTAACCTTTAAATTTAATTTAACTACAGACAGACAGACGGCTTCAATAATATTTAACAACAAACAATATTGTACATAATACATTAAAATGGAATTTCAATAGTAGCGAGCAACTACGAAAATTACATTTCAAAAAAAGAACAAACAAAAAAGTATTGCAAGTCAGTGAAAAATCTACCATTTTAGTAGTAAGTTTTTGTTTTTTCATCGTCCTCGAAACTGCTGTGTTTTCTTCGCCGGCTGTAATATTGTTTCCAATACGACTGAGGCCGCATTGACTTTGCTGCATCTACGGAGGATAATGACAAAATTGAATCTCCATATTTCAATCTCATCTCCTTTCTAACCGACTTCAAAAAAGTAGGAGGTTCTCCATTCGACTATGTTTTTTTTAAAATGTTTTTATCATTTTTGACTGGGTGAATTGATTTTGATGATTCTTTTTTTGTTAGAAAGCTGACGCTTTTCGTGTGGTTAGATTTCAATTTAGTCCAGTTCTGATAATGGTATCCATGGGAAAACCATATATGTCTTAAATTTGCATTAAGTACGTGCGCGACAAATAGATGAACAACTCAATATCACGCCAACCGATTTCGATGATCCGGTTTTTAAAGCATGTCTATTTACAATTATTATTGATTAGAACATAATAATTAAACCACAATGTATCATTATCATCACACCTCCGGTGGCGGGAGCAGAGCTAATCTATATAATTTGGAACCGCTGTGTTCATCGACAGTGCGTTTCCAGAGGTCTTTTATGCCGCGTACCATCCGGCTTTGGAATGAGCTCCCCTGCACGGTGTTTCCCGAGCGCTATGACATGTCTTTCTTCAAACGAGGGTTGCGGAGAGTACTTAATGGCAAGCAGCGGCTTGGCTTGGCCCACGGCATTGCTGACGTCCATGAGCGACGGTAACCACTTACCATCAGGTGGGCCGTATCCTCATCTGCCTACAAAGGCAATAACAATAAATATATTTTACAGCGCACATTCTAATCGTAAGCGACTTCTTTTCTTAGATCGATTACAATAATGGTGACTAAAGGTTTGTCACTGGTACTATTTGATCAGGTACCATTGTATCCTTATCCATTATTCTGCAGTTCTTACTCGGAGTGTGTCATGTGTCGAGATATGGCATCTGATGTTGTCTGGTTTGATGTCTACAAGTCCTCTAGCGTCTATATATTTATAAATAAACCTATATCTCTGACTATACTTGATTTTCACTAAAACTTGCAAGTAGTAGTAGAAGCAGTACTGCGTTTCGGTTTGAAGGGTGGGGCAGCCGTAGTAATTATACTGAGACCTTAGAACTTACATCTCAAGGCGGGTGGCGCATTTACGTTGTAAATGTCTATGGGCTCCGGTAACCATTTAACACCAGGTGTGCTGTGAGCTCGTCCACCCATCTAAGCAGTAAAAAAAAACTTGAGGTCACTGACACAGCCTAACATGATGACGCGGCAGCACTTACTTGGGGAACATGTCGTCACACTTCAACTCGGTCCAGCCCGCGAACACTTCGTACAGCATCGTGTCTAAAGCTTTATCACCTGACAGTTCTCCAGCAAGCATCCGGAGGGCGACCCTGAAAGACATTCCAGCTTTCGTTGGTGGTGGGGTGTATCGTGAGCCCGCACGGGTAATTGCCGTCCACCCCGTCTATTTCTGCCGTGAAGCAGTAATGCGTTTCGGTTTGAAAGGTGGGGCGGCCGTTGTAACTATACTGAGACCTTAGAACTCATGTCTCAAGGTGGGTGGCGTCATTTACGTTGTAGATGTCTATGGGTTCCGGTAACCACTTAACACCGGGTTGGCTGTGAGATCGTCCACCCATCTATGCAATAGAAAAAAAAACTTGCCTATTTCTGCCGCAAAGCAGTGAAGCGTTACTGTTTGAAGGGCGAGACAGTCATTAGGTCTATGAATTTTGTGTGCTTAGTGCTTAGAACTCTCAAAGTTATTAGTGTAGGTAGGCGAAAGTAAAAGTTAAATATACACTTACCCGTTAATCCGAGCCATAGTTCCGTAAGGAGGGTTAAGTTTAGATGTCGCCGCGAGATTCCTACAGTACAACAACCAAACGCAGTCAAGCTCCGTGTAGAAACCGTCCGAGCTGGCAACACTGCCGTTTCTACTATACGAACTCTGCAGACGATTAAGCGCGTGGGTGTTCTCGTCTATGTTCCTTGGCAACACCGGCGTGTTCTCTTTATTCGACATTTGGTTTAAGACTGACCTGTAAATTGGAAATTATGTGTGCTCATTATAAAAACCATTGGAGTGTAAGGGATATTTTGAATTGGTCACTTCAAGCAAAACTTGATCACATGTCGGGTGGCTGCATTTTTTTTACTATGGGGAATCTATTTACGGATTCCCCGCCGATGGGCACCGGACCGGGTTGTGGTGGATTCCGGCGTCTCTGAAGAGAGACAACATTTTGAAATAAGTCGTAGTTTGCCCCTTAAAACGACAGTCGTCTTAACACCATCTCTTGACACCCGATTACCGGTCGAGATGACACTGGGGTCAGGGCAGGTAGACTAGCTCAACACTTTTTACCATCACCTCGGCTTGCCACTAGAGAAGAGTTCGTCCATACTACCAAGCATTTCCAGAGATTTTTTAAGCTATTGCATAGATTTTATCGCGGGCTTTGATCGCGGCGACTGAATCCGCCGAATTCCGTAACAAAAATAACCTGACACCCCCACTACGCCTGCTATGTTGCTCGCGTTCAACACATTCACACGTTGCGCTTGTGTAGTGTTTGTGAATAAGCGCGTGGCGTGACGTCACACTGCATGCGCATCATGAAAAGTCTGCCCATCTCTCTCTCGCGTGGTCTAGCTTATAGGTGTGAAGGGGACAGTTAATGTTTTGCTTTTATTAATGTTTAATATAGCGTGGTCTTTTTTATTATTGTTTTAATATTAAATTCTAATTATAATTGCATAAGTTGAAAAAAAATGCTATGCAATAGCTTTACCGGGGCAGTTCCCAAGTGCCACACGTTTTTTTTGCCACACATCACCCGCCTCTGGAATGAACTCCCCTCCGCGGTGTTTCCCGGGCGCTTTGACATGGTCTTCTTTGAATGAGACATGAGGAAATTTCTCAGTAGCAGGCAGGGGTTTAGTCATATCGCTGGCATTACTGATACGCCTGCGCAACGGAGACTACCGACCTCAAGGGGTGCATAGGACAGTCTGCAATGGCAATTAACAAAAAAAACAATTACCGTGTATTCTTGTAAACTCTTCCTAAATGTATGGCCGCTCGGGCCGTGCCCATTCCGATCTCGAGAATGTTCTCAAAGAGATTTTTTCCAAAACCATAGTCGTCTGCGGGTGTTAATTTATTTTGACGTTTTCTAAAAACAAAAAAAAGCACATTGGTACAGGTAGGATAAGGCTCGCACATCGCCCAACCTTAACCCTTCGACTGCCATGTAAGTCACCGGTGCCCTACGCGGCGCACTGAATTAATTATGTCGTCTTCTGTTACTGAGGCGCCTCCCTCAGACATAGCCCACTGAGTTTCTCGTCAGATCTTCTCAGTAGGTCGCGTTTTCGATCCGGGCGTAGTTTCTGCGAAGCACGGCTCTTACTAGGGTTCGTGTTAGCAATGTCGTCAGGTTTGAGCCTCGTGAGCTCACCTTCTAGTTAAGGTAACGTTGATATAGCCTCTCAAGGCTCTCAGCTTAGGTAGGATAAAAAAAAAGAGGCGCCTAGATTGCCTAACTTAATGTATGTTTTAGTATTTTAAGTCACTTAGAAATAGATTCATTCCCAGTAGCTCCGGATTCGTGCTTCGCCGAGTCTTCTAGATATTCCAGCGCCTTACTAATAGAAATCGTCATAATTGTCACACGAAACGTCTAGTACCTTTAAGAAAGGAATTTAGTACTTATCCGAGCAGTTCACGAAAAGTGACATGTAACATATATTATAATAATATATATATCGAGGGATGAGTGTGCGATATTTTTAATTGAACTTCGATTAAGTTTACTCCATCCAAATAGCTGAAGAAGTTTTTTTGTTATGATATTTTTACCAAATTTTAACCTTTGAAAGGCTCCTCAAAGCGCCTCAAAAATGTGGCTTAAACTTGATTTAACACCTTATAGATAACACCATAACACATTATAAATAAACTTGATTTTAACGAGAGAAACAATTAAGTTATCGTCGTAAATTCAACTTACGGATATACGTCGTACGGTTGATTTTGCTCGTTCATTTTGGCTTCGACTTTACTCGGGTCCATGAAGAGGGCGTTGAAAGCGAAAACGTTTGGATCCTTCATCATGTTTATACGGGCCGTTTCCTGGTTCAAAGCGCATGGTTTAGTCTTTTTTTTCTATTGCTTAGATGTGTGGACTAGCTCACAGCCCACCTGGTGCTAAGTGGTTACTGGAGCCCATAGACATCTACAACGTAAATGCGCCACACACCTTGAGATATAGTTCTAAGGTCTCAGTATAGTCACAACGGCTGCCCCACCCTTCAAACCGAAACGCATTACTGCTTCACGGCAGAAATAGGCGGGGCGGTGATACCTACCCGTGCGGACTCACAAGAGGTCCTACCACCAGTAATTACGCAAATTATAATTTTGCGGGTTTGATTTTTATTACACGATGTTATTCCTTCACCGTGGAAGTCAATCGTGAACATTTGTTGAGTACGTCGTATTTCATTAGAAAAATTGGTACCCGCCAACGAGATTCGAAGACCGGCGCATCGCTACATACGAATGCGCCGGACGTCTTATCCTTTAGGCCACGACGACTTCAGACATTATCAGCCAATAGCAGTCCACTGCTGGACTTAGGTCTCTCTAATTATACCCCACTGAGAATGATTCTCGTTTAGGGCTAGACATGTCTTTTTTAATTAATACGCTTTTATTAGCTTCAGACGTACCTATGTATGTTTGTAACGGAATCTTTGAACATGATTTTGACCCCCTTCAAAACGTCGGATTAACTTTGTTTTTTTTTTACGCTTTTTTTTTTACAATAAAATAATTTTTTCTTATACTATTTTTAATTTAAATTTATTAAAATTTATTTTCTATTTTTTATTTGGATTTTCTATAAAAGAGTATTTTGTTAGTTTTTTTAAACTACTATTTATTATTGCTGTTGGAAGCAGACGGCTAATCTGATGGTGAGTGGTTACCGTCGCCCATGGACGTCAGCTATGCCAGGGGCAGAGCTATGCCGCTGGGTACCGTTAAGTACTCTCCACAAGCCTCGTTTGAAGAAGGACATGTCATAGCACTCGGGAAACTCAGGGGAGCTCATTTCAAATCCGGATGGTACGCGGCAGAAAAGATCTGGAAACGCACTGACGATGAACGCAGCGGTTCCAAATAATATGGATAAGCTCTGCTCCGGTGGCGGGAGGTGTGATAATAAAAAGGTGATGAGATTGAAATATGGAGTAGTTGTAAGCTTGTGAGCTTTTCGTTGTAATCGAGGAGTTCCACGAACACGGTGACTTGTGCTTGAGGTACCTAAGCATCGAAAGTGAATGCAGGGGATCCTTTAAGACATGTCTCGGACGACGTCGGCTTTGCGTTGCCCCGTCGTCGTCAGATAAGTCGAAGTGGTCCGCTTAAGTCGACAGAGGCATAGATATCCTATATTTTGGAGTTCGCATGCAAAACTCACCTGACTCTCCCAAGCCATGGTCTGTATATTGTGTAGCAGCATTACGTCTAAACTCAAAATGCCAAACGATAGTAAGTCAGTTTCATTCCCCAGCATCGATCTCCTGCCGTGAACTCCAATAGTGAAATTTTCACCGAAATAAATTTCCTTCAGCTTATTAAGGACCACGCTGGCGTTCCCTTCGATCAGACTTTCGTTAAGAGCTTTTAAAACTTCGCCGAAATCATTTCTGTTCTTAGTCGAATTTTTGATAACATCGAAATCGGAGTCTTTTGTTAGCCAATTGTGCAATTCTTGAACTTTTTCAATTAAATAACTCGTCATTGTGTTGCTTTGCATGTAGTCATCGTAAAGGTTTATATCATTGTAATATTCATCGTAGTCCACTTCAGTTCTTAGTGTCTCTAAATAGCTAACAGGCAGTTTGACTTTCTTGATTAGAACCTCAGAGTTTAACGGCTTGAATTCTGGCACTATTGTATCACCTATATTCTTTATTTCTCTCTCGATAGCGTTAACGTCAAACGAAGACGCGTCATTGTTTTTAGCGCGTAAAGTTTCGATGCGTCTGTCCGTCTTCTTATTAAAACTTATCGGTGCAAAGTTATTATCTTCGGATTCTAATAATTTTTCAGATGCGTCCCTTTCGGTGGCCGCCAAGTCATTGTCATTGTTGATGTCATTCAAATCGTAGTTGATAGGTGGCTTCGGTTTATCTTTCTTCTCGATTTTACGCTCTTTGTGTTCGATTGCTTCGTGTATCGGATGAATTTGCGTTTTAGATTTCAAATCAACATTCCTGTTTCTGTTTACAATGTTTTTGAAAAACGACAGTTTTTCTAGTATCGGTAATTCGTTGTCTTCGTCTAAGCGCGGTTCTGCGGTAACTTCTTCAGTGTTTTGTTTTGATTTTGAATAAATCTCCGAATATATAGGCTCCTGGAAGCGAACGAATTAATAATAAAAAAACCTTAATACGTTTATTACTGAAAATACTACAATAACAGATCGGCATGTCATTAAGTGGTGCATTACTAATATTAAATTACTAATATAACTTTATTTAATTCAAGGAAAACTCAGTTATCTGCACGGACTTCATTAAAACCACTTTCACAGTTTAATGACTCGGTTTTTTTCTTTATTGTCATTACATTTTAATTGTCATTTCCGACTTTTCAAATACTTTACAGACGACTGTCGTCCGTGACCGCGCGATTGAAATGCGAGATTAACCCGTGGAAAGTAGTTTTAATTGTCTCCACGGCTCGTGAAAACCAATGAAAATACTTTAGAATCTGCGTTAAGACAAATGACTTAAATACTTTATGATGTGCGTTAAGGCAAACGACTTCAATACTTTATAATATGCGTTTAGGTAAGAGGTTCCCAAACTTATTTTATCTATTGCCCACTTTGAGAATAAAATATTTTTTAGCGCCCCCATTTTTTCACCCACTTAAAAACCACTATAGTGAGAGCTCAGTCGGTGTCTAAGAGTCCTCCTAGATGAAATTACAAATCGCCTCCCAAGCCTCTACACAACGCCCCCATTTTTTTCTGGGTCTCTTATCGCCCCCGTTTAGGCCTGTAGCGCCCGCAAGGGGCGTTATCGCCCATTTTGGGAAATACTGGTTTAGACGAATTACAAAAATACTTTATAACATGCGTTAAGGCAAACGTCAAATATCTTATCTTATATCTTTAAACGAGCAATTCTTGTATATAAATATATGTATATAATTTGAACCTCGGAAACGGCTCCAACGATTTTCATAAAATTTTGTATACAGGGGATTTCGGGGGCGATAAATCGATCTAGCTACGATTTATTTTCAGAAAATGTTGTTTTATTCGTGTTTTCAATAATCAACTTTATCGATAATTTTGATAATTTTTATTTTTAAATATTATAATTATACAATTAATCAAAAAAATAATCATCATCGGTCATCCAGGTACTACTTTATGATATGCGTTCAGGTAAACGAATCATACCGGTTCATGTGAATGAATCTCTCGGGCTGTGTACTCGCTGGTTCCCCATCTCGTGACCACCACAGTTGCGAGGACCAGGACCGCGCAGACCGCGAAACATGACGCGCTCGCAACGATCCACACCTTCAACGGGACCTGAGCACAATGATAACGGTTCAATAGAAGCTTCTAGAAGAATAAGGACAAGATAAGGAATGAGTCTATCAGAAGTGTGAAAGTAGCCCCAGTGATTGACAAATTAAAGAGCGGACGGTTAATGTGGTATAGATAAAATTTCGACTAAATGACAACCATACTTTTATTTCATATCTCATGATGGCCCACATGATTTATAAGATCTAAAAGGTCCAATAAGTATCATCTAACCTCCTTTCTGTCCAAAAATATCAGTACACCTTCGTATAATTCTTGTATTCACCATAACGCGTATGTTGAGAGAACGTTTAAGTCATTTTCCTGTTACCTTTTGATTACTAGATTCCCTCGAACGAGTTCGTCCGTTCGAATAGTGGCACAGACGCGGTATGTTGGGATTTCGAAGGCCCGTCCTCTCAAACCTGGCTTACTACGTTTTATATAATCTCCGATTGCATCTGCGGCGTATAAAAATTAAGAAGCTTCTCTTCTTCTTTGTCTCCACTTTATCCCGCTAGGTGCGGTCGGTACAGCGAATTTTTCTATTCCATTCTCATCATCTCAACACTCACTCCTTTCTCTCTCATATCGTCATTCATACGCTCCATCCATGTCTTCTTCAGTCGACCTCTTCCCCCTCTACCTTGCACTACCATTTCCATACATCTCTTAGTCACATGCACCTCCTTATTATCTTACATATATATATATATATCTTAGTACCGGTATCCAGAAAAGGTAATAATACCCAGTATAATGACTTTTAAGTCCAATTGTAACCTATTTTACTTTACACAACCTCCCGATTATACGTTATTATGTTGTTTCCGTAGTTGTGAAGTCACATAACGATTGCTTAATAGCATAAACTTTAATCGCCGAGGTAAACGGGTTACAAATTAACTGGGCAAATGAACAGTTACGGTACGTTTAGAAAGTATTTCCTGATAACAGTACGAGAGCTGCAGAGGACCGTGTCTATAGTAGTGTGGTATAGCACCCTCGGCTAGATGTAGGTCGGATCTGTGTCTGTTTGTGTACGAGAAGAGCTCAGGATCAGTACAGAGCTGCAGAGGACTGTGTCTATAGTAGTGTGGTATAGGACCCTCGGGTAGATGTAGGTCGGATCTGTGTCTGTTTGTGCACGAGAAGAGCTCGGGATCAGTACAGAGCTGCGGAGGACTGTGTCTATAGTAGTGTGGTATAGGACATTCAGCTAGATGTTGGTCGGATCTGTGTCTGTGTACGAGAAGAGCTCCGGATCAGTACAGAACTGCAGAGGACTGTTTCTATAGTAGTGTGGTATAGGACCCTCGGCTAGACGTAGGTCGGATCTGTGTCTGTTTGTGTACGAGAAGAGCTCCGGATCAGTACAGAACTGCAGAGGACTGTTTCTATAGTAGTGTGGTATAGGACCCTCGGCTAGACGTAGGTCGGATCTGTGTCTGTTTGTGTACGAGAAGAGCTCGGGATCAGTACAGAGCTGCAGAGGACTGTGTCTATAGTAGTGTGGTATAGGACCCTCGGCTAGATGTAGGTCGGATCTGTGTCTGTTTGTGTACGAGAAGAGCTCCGGATCAGTACAGAACTGCAGAGGACTGTTTCTATAGTAGTGTGGTATAGGACCCTCGGCTAGATGTAGGTCAGATCTGTGTCTGTTTGTGTACGAGAAGAGCTCGGGATCAGTACAGAGCTGCAGAGGACCGTGTCTATAGTAGTGTGGTATAGGACCCTCGGCTAGATGTAGGTCGGATCTGTGTCTGTTTGTGTACGAGAAGAGCTCGGGATCAGTACAAGGATGTTTACTCTAAATACGTTTACATAGAAACATAGCGTTTTCACTCACAGTCGGTTTGACCGGTATTCTATCGTGAATCGGTCGCGGCGGTAAAGGTCTTGATGTCATTCTATGATGGCGATCCACATAGCTTCGACTCCAATCAGTACTGACGGTGGCCTGGCTCTCACACGAGTGTGCCGATGCGGGTCTCTTCTCAAATTCGTATTGAAACATTTTAATCTGAAACAAATTGAGGTCAAATTATATAAAACGGTCGCTTCGCCTCTCAAACAAGCTTTTCTGTACTGCGAGACTGGCATACGCTTAAATTACTTATGAATATTTAATACACAGTAACAGTGTAACTAAATAGGTAGGTTTGATAGCGCTCAAAGTGTCTACACAGAACTTTATCTTGAAATCCGATCTCTAAGGTACATTGTCATAGCTTTCCAAGTTGTGGGAAAACATACAAGGTTTCAGGTTTGAGAATATTAAGCAAAATTCTATTATTTAACTGAGCTTGCTGTCTTCCGTAAAGGGTCTATATATACATTTATAAGATGTGGGGGTTAATCATCATAGAACACAAGATATTCGGCAGATGCCTGAATCTCGCTTACGACATTTTCAAGATAAGCTTACATATGAGGCCGTCAGCGCAAAAGTGGCCTAAGCTTACCATAGTATGCAGGCAATTAGGTTTGAATTTTTGGAGTTTACTCCTTTAGAATCGATTTACATATATAGGCCCGGGGTATGAAAATTATGGGGACCAAAATCGTACTAGCATGTCACACGAAATGCGTTATGCGTTACGCGGCCGCGTTATTGCAGGTGACGCCGGGCTGCTGCGCCGGCAGTCCGCCACAAAGCCTCGTACTGATCGCGCGTTTCTCTCATTATTGTATTTTCATATATTTGTTAGTCGTTTGTTTTGTGTCTCGTTAATTTGTTAATAATCTGTAGTGTATCGTGTTGTCGTAATATAGAACTATTTCTCGTATTGTTTCGTTTAATTTTTTATATCCAGTAAACTCCAGTCGTGCGTCGGAGCGGACACACACACTTTTTTATTTATTTTATTGAATTAGGCAAAAAAATAATACGCGCAAAAATAATGTTTACAAAACTATCTGTTATAATATGAGTGAAACTATGGATAGGCCGGTTTTTGCATCAAAATTTATTATATTTAAAATGAATTCCAACGTCATATAACCTTGAAAATAACACAGAATGAGGGCTATTCTGACATTTCCTTCATTGAATTAGGTTAGAAGACTCCACTTCTGTTGTAGGCAGCGACTTGCTAGGCATCTCATATTGCTTATGTCTGTGAGCAAAGGCAAATAGTTACAATCAAGCCGTATTCTTATCTGCATTTGAGGCCACGAGAAAACTAGAGATAAGTCGATGTGCCAACACAATGGTCTTGGGGATCTGACTCGGCTTCAGGTTGATCGTTCGTGAAATTAAAATTGAGTAAAAGAATATGTCATGCGTGTCGTAGATGCGAACTAAAGGACTTTTCTGGCTACGATCAGGCAGTAGATCGTAAAAATTACGCCGACACCACATAGTGCGGGGTAAGGACAGAAAGAAGACAAGATAATATAATCACTGCTACCACGGAAGATTACTAACGAAAAGATTTCACCACGTTTTACTAGAGAGAGATTTCCAGAGATCTTTTTTGCCACGTACCATCCGACTTTGGAATGAGCTCCCCTCCACGGTGTTTCCCGAGCGCTATGACATGTCCTTCTTCAAACGAGGCTTCCGGAGAGTACTTAACGGTAGGCAGCGGCTTGGCTCTGCCCCTGGCATTGTTGAAGTCTATGGGCAACATAACCCAATCACCATCAGGTGGGCCGTAGGCTCGTCTGCCTATAAGGGCAATAAAAAAAATCTCGACCGTCAAGCAGCTGTGCATGTAAAGGCATAATCTTTCTTAGCCCTAGTTTAGTGACATGAAAAAAAAAAACATTTCTAGCCAGTCCCCAGTCGGTTACGGCTTAAAGACAATGCTAATCTTCGCTTGAGAAAGTCAAACACCGGATACGTGTAGAATGGCAACTGGTGCGAGCCCATGAGAAATAGGACGGACTCAGCGAAACGTGAAGATACCTGATTCTGTCGTTACGAGAGAAATGAACGGAGAATTGTTTTGTTATTACGCGCTCAGTTGACTACTATCTTACTTACTTTACTATCAGCTAGAAAATATCTTAAAGTAGACACGTTATGTGCAGCTTGAAGGGGTTGAGTGGCCTTAGTGGTTTATATTGGTTTAAAGACATTGGCTAGTTAAAACAATTGTTTTGTTTTTGCTTAGTTGGGTGGACGAGCTCACAGCCCACCTACTGTTAAGTAGTTACTGGAGCCCATAGACATCTACAGCGTAAATGCGCCACCCACATTGAGATACAAGTTCTAAGGTCTCAAATATAGTTACAACGGCTGCCCCACTCTTCAAACCGAAACGCATTACTGCTTCACGGCAGAAATAGGCGGGGCGGTGGTACCTACTCGCGCGGACTCATAAGAGGTCCTACCACCAGTATTTACGCAAATATAATTTTGCGGGTTTTCACTTTTATTACACGATGTTACTCCTTCACCGTGGAAGTCAATCGTGAACAATTGTTGAGTGCGTAATTCATTAGAAAAATTGGTACCCGCCTGCAGGATTCGAACACCGGTGCATCGCTTCAACACGAATTCACCGGACGTCTTATCCGTTAGGCCACGACGACTACAAAGTTTGAAGGGTGGGGTCTGGTTTTTACTATAGAACTAAGATTTAGACCTCATGTCTCAAGATGGGTGGCGGTATTCGCGTTGTCTCTGCACTCCAACCACCACTTGTTTAACTTGAGATATGAGTTAATAGAATACGAATCGCACCCTTCAAACTGGAACGCTAAATTACTTCCCGACAGTATATTAGTGCGAGTTTATAATTGGACGCAATTTTTCACAGATGCCACCTTATTCCGGCTTTAATATTTGTCACCAGATCCTTCGTTGTTTCCTTGTGGTCAATCCGCAATCTTCCACCATCAAAATAACAATGTGTAACAACACATTTTTAATAAAAATTGTAGTCGTTTGTGAGCCGATTGCGTTGTGTGAATGCCTTTCGCTGTGTCTGCACGGTTAGGATTCGGTGTCAATGTAGCGTTTTATGATGTAAGCTCGTTAATTTAATTATTTTAAGCTGCTGCGGTAGCGAAATGTAACTAGATCTAAACACGTCATTACGGATCCTCCCGATCCATTAACGGTCCTTTTAGGTACCACAAGCACCGGTCACCGTCCTCGTCGAACCCGTCGTTTGCGACGAAGGGCTCGATGAGTGAATTAACTTATAGACATATCCCACTGAGTTTCTCGCCGGATCTTCTTTGTGGGTCGCATTTCCGATCCTGTGCTAGGGCCCGTGTCAGCAACACTCCCGGTTAGATCGCCGTAAGCTCACCTACACTTCAAGGAGAAGCTGAAATAGCCAATCAAGGCTATCAGGATCAAGGTCATCGGAGCCCAGATGTCTCAATTGGATGTTGATGTCTCAACAACGTAGATGCCATCACCACACGTAGATAGAGATTTATTAACTTCATCTGTTTAATTTCAATAGTAATCATAATACCGGTTTATTATATACTAGCGACCCGCCCTCGCTTCGCTTCGGAAACATTAAAACACACATGAAACCAAAAAAAAAATTTAAAAAAAAATTAAAAAAAGTAGCCTATGTTCATCAGGGACAATGTCGGCTTCTAATGGAAAAAGAGTTTTTCAAATCGGTCCAGTAGTTTCGGAGCCTATTCGAAACAAACAAACAAACAAATCTTTCCTCTTTATAATATTAGTATAGATTACCTCCTCCTCCTCCTCGAGTCGTGTTCCTCATGTCTGAGGGTCGTGACCACCATCATCCATGAGCTTCAATCTTAGGATCTTTTTCCACTTTCCCCTGTTCCCTTTACCTACTAGTAATTAATTTTATTATAGTAATTACAGTACAGTAGTAAAGTATTTATTATTGCTCAAAGCAGAATCGCTTTGCTGGCCAGTTTTTATACGCTTTATTTTATTTTGATCCGGTCGCTACCAAGCTTGCTCTAGCTATCGTAATGGTAGCGTTAGTATCAGTAGTAGTGGTACAGTACTAGAAATATTGAATCGATGAAAATTTCATCTAAATCGTTTCGCAGTCTACAAGGAACACAAACAAACTTTATATGTTTAGATTAATAATCTACAGACGAGAAATTCGTAATGTTCTTCTGACGGCAAAACAAAATCACGGTTAGCGATAAGCGACAGCGTCCGCTACAAGAGAACCGATTCTCGTCGCATTTGGCGCGCAATACGTTTCAATAAGCCACTGCGAGTGAGTTTAGTAATGTTACCCACACGATTTGGCTTTTTGTGTGGCGATTGCAATGCCTCTGCTTGTGTTTGTCTGTCACGCTATATGACGCCACTGGACGGACTGTAGCTAGAATTAAGTAATATTGCAATGCGACGAAAAGGTCGAAGATTATCCGACCGCGACGCAGTTGATGGATTTCGAGCTCGGGCCTAGGGTGGATAGCTTTTGAAATGCCAAAATTACGGAGACCAAAAATATTAAAGACTAAAATCTCCTTTGGAAATGAGTTCTGACTAAAAAACAAAAAAAAAAAAAAATAATGGATTATTAAAATTAATAAATAAAAAGGGCCTAAGGAGGTATGGAGCCTAAATCCATCCATCCACAATCCCCCGGATTCACTCTCGCTGCTTTTAAGATCCTCAAGCACCGGTTACCATCTTCGTAGTCGTCGAGAGTTCGACGTATGAATTAAACCATAGACACAGTCCACTGAGTTCCACATACACAACCAACTGAGTTTCTCGTCAGACCTTCTCAGGTCGCGATTTCGATCCGGTAGTAGATTCTGCGAAGCACTGCTCTTGCTAGGGTCAGTGTTAGCAAATTCTTTCAGCCTCAGTCCGTGAGCTCACCTACCCGTCCGGGCGTAGCTGAAATAGCCTCTTAGGCTACCAGCGAAGCGAATAAGTACAGAAAAAAAACAGGCAAACCAAATTTTCTTTTTTTTAAATTTGGATTCACCAACCACCCCATGAATTACATGGCCTTAAGTGGTGGGCGCCCATAGACACCTTGTCACCTTAAGACATTAGATCCAAGTCACCGTTTTTACAGTACAACAGCTGTC